TGGTACATTTACACAATCTACTCATCAGTAAAGAAAGATGAAATCATGAAATCTACAGGTAAATGAGTGGAACTAGAAACTGTTATACTAAGTGAAGTAATACAGACTCAGATAAACAAATGACGTATATTCTCCCTCATATGTGAATCCTAGCACCAAATCCTTATAAGTGAGCATGTATCCAGACATAACTACAGGGACCAGGATATTGAAAAGTAATCAGGGAGGTTAAAGAAAAGAAAGAACCTGAGAGAGAAAAACAATAGGAAACAGGTGTTACTAAGGCAGATATGGATAAAAATGGGGTTATTTAAATGTGAGGGGGGAGAGAGTTATACAAGGAACCTTGGGGATAAAGGAAAATAATGGTAATATTTTTAAAAGAAAAACACTGAATATATTAAATCATCTACTATAGGCACACAGAAGGGGCACATGACATAAAATATGGTGAATAAAATTATTTTAGTGGTAAATTTAAAAAATATACCTATAATAAGCCTGGCATGTTGGCACAGACCTTTAATCCCAGCATGTGGGAGGCAGAGGCAGGCAGATTTCTATCAGTTCTAGGCCAGGCTCATCTACAGGTCTACATAGTGAGTTCCAGGCCAGCTTGGGCTACAGAGAGACTCTCTCTCAAAAAGAGAAAAGAAAACAAAGCAAAACAAAACAAAAAACATAATCATTTTGAAACTCCTTATAGGAACAATACAGGACCTAGTGTGGAGTCACGCACTTTCCCAAAGCATGCTGAGAGGCTGAACGGCAGAAACAGAGAGATGGGTCAAGTATTGAATGGGAAGAGTCGTGTGGGACATTTTCAGTGTTCTGTGTATTCTGCATCTTTTTTTTTTTTCCGTCTTTTTGAGACAGGCTCTCTCTGTAGCCCCATCTTCCCTGCAATGAGCTACATAGGTCATCCTCGATCTCACATAGATCTGCCTGCCTCCGCTTCCCTAGTGCTAGGAATAAAGGCGTGCACCGACAGAGCTGTGAATTTCTTGTCTTAACAATGACATACAATGAATAACTGAACAGCCTATAAAAACTCATTGGTTGGTAACAGTATCAGTGTAATCAGCTATATGTAAAATTTTCCAAGAAAATTATAAAAAATATAGCTTTTTTAAGTTAACAGGAAAAGGAATTTTTCAATTAAAAGAAAACCCTGTGACTTTACTATTCCACTTGAGTGCCTGAAATGTTTGAATACATTTGAACAAGTGTTTTTCCCCCCTTTGGCAAACACTATTTCATTTACAGGGTGAATAGGAGGGACGAAGACAATATATTGAATGACATCTTTAGAACTCTCATTACTGAGTCACTGAATGACTGGACTGATTGATTCAGCAACATAAAGACAAGAGGGGCCTGCAGAGATGGTTCAGCTGTTCAGAGCACTGGCAGCTCTTGCAAAGAGAACACAGGTTCAGTTCTGAACACCCATGTGGTGGGTAAAAATTGTCCTTAACTAGAGTTCCAGTTCCAGCAGATTCAATACCCTCTTCTGACCTCTATTGGCAGTGCAGGGCATGGGCGCACTTACATTTATGCAAGCAATACCCTCATACACTGTTCCAGTTTGTTTCTCCATTGCTTTGACAAAATACTATGACCAATATCAACTCGGGGAGGAAAGCATTTATTTAGCTAACATCTCCCAGGTCACAGTTCATCAGCGTGTCCAAAGTAGGAACTCAGGGCAGGAACCTAGAGGTAGAAGATGCAGCACAGGCCATAAAGGAGTGGTGCTTACTGGCTTGTTCCCCTGGCCCCTGCTCAACATGTCTTCTTATACAACATAGGCTCACTTGCCCAGGGCTGGCAGCATCCAGAATGGACTGGACCCTCCCACATCACTCAATAATCAAGAAGATGCCCACAGAAATGGTCACGCCAAGTCCAACGGAGGAAATTCCCCAACTGAGGATCCCTCAACCCAGATATGTCAAGTTGACACTAAAGCTATCCAGCACAACTGACCCCTTGTCAACTTGACACACAAATACATCAATAATAAACCACAACCTTTTTATTTCTTGTCCCAAAGATATGTTAACATTAATATCACAATGTAAGACAGTACAAACTTAAGGGTGTCAAGTCTCAGCTGCTTTCTGTGATCCCTTCACACTTTCAACACCAGAACCATGCAGGAGACTATTATACATTACCAAGTCCGGCTTCCAGCTTGAGATGGGGTCTCATACCCCCTCTGGATCTCAGCTCCTGTGCTGACCCTGAGGAAATACTTTCCAGAAGATTTTGCCAAAGTGATGCTGGTCTCTTTAATTACTGCTGATTTTTCAGCCTCAACTAACCGGCATCAATTGTCCCCATAAAGCAAAGGTTTAACTTCAGTCTCTTAATCACAGCTGATTCTTCAGGCCCAGCTGAACAGAAACCAAAAGTTCCCAATTCAAGAGATCACACAAACAGCCCTTATAGTGTCTATTCCATTTGAAGCTTCATAAGCTGGCCTCAATTTTTCACAACTCTTTCAGGATTACTGTTCCAAGTTCCACAACAACAACTCTAAGCACTCAATGTCTTTTCCATTCCAAAGTTCTGAATGCTTCAACAATCCTCCTAAAAACACCAAGGTCAGGACTGTCACAGCAATGCCCAACTCTCTGATACCAATTCTGTTCTATTTTGTTTCTCCATTTCTGTGACAAAGTGCTTTGACAAAAACCAACTTTGGGAGGAAAAAGTTATTTTATCTCAGATCTCCTGGGTCACAGTTCATCAGGGAGCCCAAGGTAGAAATTCAAGCAGGTAGAGATGGAGCACAGGTCATGATGGAACACTGCTTCCTGGCTTACACCCCTGGCCCCTGCTCAACCTGCTTTCTCATACAACATAGGCCCACTTGCTACCCACAGTGGGCTGGAGCCTCCCACATCACTCAGTAATCAAGAAGATTCCCCACAGACAAGCCACAGTCCAGTCCAATGGAGGCAATTCCCCAACTGAGGCTCCCACAACTCAGGTGTGTCAACTTGACACTAAAGCTATCCAGCACATACACGTAACATAAAAATAAATTTAAAAAACTATTTTAATGAGTCAGGAGGCAAGATTATGAGTTCTTAAACACAACTACATAAAAACTTCTATAGGAAAGTCACAGTCACAAATCCAGAGTAGGAAATGCCTGAGGAGAGGTTCAGTTAGTTCAAAAGTTCTCCCAAGGTGAGAAGTGTCCCTAGATAAGGATAGCTGACACTTTGATTATAATAACAGTTATTTTGGGAATGAACTATGAATTCGTGATGTGCAGCATGATGTTTGAAGAGTAGAAACACTGTAAGTGAACACGCACACCCCTTCACATTATTAGCATTCTTTGATTAGAACATATTACATCCATTCTCTTGTTATTTTCCAAGGAGAAAGTATAGTGAAAACTAAGGTCATCTCTCTCTCTCTCTCTTTCTCTCTCTCTCTCTCTCTCTCTCTCTCTCTCTCTCTCTCTCTCTCTTTTGGTCTTTTTGAGGCGGGGTATCCCTGTAACCTAAGCTGTCCTGAAACTCACCAGGTAGACAAGGCTAGTCTCAAACTCAGAGAGATCTACCTGCCACTGCCTCCCAGCTGCTGGGATTAAAGATAGGCACCACTACTTCCTGCAACTAAGATAATGTCTGTTTTTAGCTTATTTCAAATTTGAAACTGAATATTATCTATTTTCTTTCATTTCACCATACAGTCCATTGAGGACTGTTTGCATCTGATCTACAATTGAGAAAAATTATTCATAAGATTAATATTAAACTTTGGCTCCATCTTTAGAGGTTTCAGTCCAGCATCCATGGGGCTCAGAGACTAACAGACAATGGCAAGACTGAACCATAAGATGGAAGGTCATGATGCAAGAAATCTAATCTCAAGGGTAACAAGATTTAGAGAAGGAAGGTGCCAGAACAAGACAGATCCTCCAAACCACAGCTCTGTGACCTGTATCCTGTAAGAATACTGAAGTCAGAAATATTATCAGTGAACAAGCACATGAGCAGCATGAGAAAGAATGATCCCAAAGAAGCCTAGACTGACTCACACACACACACACACACACACACAAACACACACACACACACAGACACATTAGGAGGATGTAGAAATTTCCACAATCAAAGAACTCATGAAAAACTGGACAGGACACTAGAATAAGTCTTAAATATTACACAACACCAATGTTTCACAACCTCTTTTCAGACCAAACTGGAAAACAGACATCAATAGTAGGTAGAAAACAGAGAATCCCCAAATGCCAGGTAGACAGACATATTTAACACACTCTTATTTAAAATGGGAAGAGAATATAGAATGTCATGCTATATAAATATTCTACGTGATTCTCATGAAAGTCTTACAAGCATTTTCAAAAGAAATATATTAGTAGTTGTAAAACAATGAAAAAATCACAAGGAATCAGGAGGACACAAACATTTTCAAAGGAAAACAAAAGACACAAAATTTACTAATTTCATGATATGTTAAATCATGACTCTGTAGGCCTTAATATAGATCACAGAATGCATGAAATCTGGTGGGGGTTATCAGGGGGAGCAGATAAATCTGGTGAGGGGTACGTGGATGCAGATCGGGTAGGGGGTATAAAAATGATTAAGATTTTTTTATGAAATGAAAAAAAATTCAATAAAAAATACACACTGAAAAAATGTAGTACGGGAAGAACACACAGGGCAAAAATCAGCTATTAGCTTGCATTGGCAAGATACGTGACATGGGAGATAAGGAAAAATTAAATAATGAAATCAAGTGATGTGTGCATACTTGTAATTTCCACATAATCCACGTGCAATAAAAGAAGTCATTTGACATTTACCACAGGTAAAATCTTGATGAAACTGCTATAAATTAATCAGAATCTCCTTGCAGTGAAACAGAGTATAGCAAAACCATTTCAGGTCTTTATCCCTCTTTACTTGGGTCCTCTCATCTCCGCCCCTCCTTCACCCACTCAAACCTACCTGGTTGGCTACAGTCTCCCCTCTCTTCACATTCCAGGGCTTTTTGCTTTGCTCCAGACAGGAGACCAGAACAGGCTTACACACAGCAAGACCTGTGCATGAGAAAGAGACACATGATGCTTGCTGGACTCTTTAGAAAGTACTGGATTTGTATTGCAACACTATGCTCCACTGATAATATTCAGAAAAAGAGCAGACTTTCCAAATAATTTCACAATTTAAATTTTCTGACAGACTCATTAGAACACATGGGAATTTTTTCAGTTTTCATATGGTGAGTTCTACCACTGATTCACAATTCAGCTATGGAAATGGAACTTTAAGATTCTGGCTACAGTGTCATGCACTAATGGGTGGCTGAAATTAACACCAAAAATATTGAGAACGGATAATTCCTCCAACAAATGGAAATGGAACAAAATGATAAAACATAAACATGTTCCTCATGATGCCCAGACACTTCCATGAAATAATGTTTAAAGAATCCAAGACTTAAACTAACATATGCACAAAGTAGACTATAATCTGTCAAAGGTAGCAGAAGAGTAAAAAATTCTCCAACACAAATCTCCTCACCTACAGACACCAGATTGCTATAGTTCTCCAACATTAACTCCCTGTACAAAGCCCTCTGAGCAGAGTCTAGGCATTCCCACTCCTCCTGGGAGAAGTCTATGGACACATCCTTGAATGTCAATGGATCCTAAAATGAAAAATGACAATTAGACTATGTGCACTTAAACAGGGTACTGGACCCAAGAAAGAAAGAGATAATTAGTAAGTGACTTCTGAATTAGATGAGAAACTTGAATTATTCAAAAGGATATTTCTTAATTGAGTAAATATCAATAATCTACTCGTTAACTCTGTGTAAAGAAGAATGGCATCAGATCCTCCAAACTTATGTGAAGATTATGATGTTAAGGAGCATATAGCACACAAATTAAACCCTCAATATAGGAATACCATTTCCCTCCTATATTTCTAGCATACAAGATCAGTTGGTCTTTTTGAGACAGGGTCTCCCTGTAGCCCCAGCTGTCCTGGAACTCACTATGTAGATCAGGCTGGCCTTGAACTCACAGAGACTTGTATATATTTATGTGTGCTCTCCCTCAACAGCCAGAAGAGGTACAATCTTCTGAAGTGTGTCCTAGAACCTGCATGCAATGAAAATATTATAGAAACATTAGTGCATAAAATACTCTAATGTTTTGGGTAGTATATTCTCTCTCTCTCTCTCTCTCTCTCTCTCTCTCTCTCTCTCTCAGTATTTTTGAGACAGGGTCTCCTTGTAGCCACAGCTGGCCTGGAACACACTATGTAGACCAAGCTAGCTGGAATTCACAGAGATCGGCCTGGCTCTACCTCCCCTGTACTGGGAATAAAGGTGTGTGCAACCATGCCTGGACTAATATATTCTCTTTTTTATCCTCTTTTTCTCACCTAAAATATGTCTGAAAGGAACACAATGTTCGTCTTATGCATCCAAAAAGAAGGGCTTAAAAACAGCGATCTGCACTGCAGAGAATAACGGAAACATAGAGACAAGAGCCACTGACTGAACAATGTTCATGTTGTGTATACAAATGATTACAAAATCAGACGTGTATAACATTTGATAAACACTCTTTTCTCAGGATCAAAGAACCAGTAATGGAGGCAGTGTTGTGAGAGAGAAGTAAAAATACCAACAGAGAGAAGGAGGCCTGCTTCAGAATCCCCACCTGGAAAACTCAGTATGTAGCAAACAAATGAGAAAGGTTTCTTCCTCCAGAGAAAGGAAGGAAACTGCACTGATGAAAGGGGAGATTCTGCAGTAAATGTCATGATCCGTGTGCTTCACTCTGTAAACTACCAGAAGAAAACTTATTCCTAATAAATTTAAAACAATGATGTCAAAGTCTGGGATTTGGTGCAGAGCAGCTCAAACAAGGGAATGAACTCCCAGGAGACAAAAGAATACAGGTGTCAATAAAACCAGCAGCACATTCCATCAGGCCTGTGATGCTGGTGGGATTAAATGTTGAGCAAATTAAAACAATATCAGAATAAAAAAATATCAGTTTTATATACAATTCAAACAACAATACAGTGGCATATGAGGACCCAAATCCATCCTCCTTAGGATCTGAAGACTGACGTGTTTGATATTTCACCTATCAGATCAGAAATATTTTTGAGATGGTTGGTCACGAATTCATCAGAGTAGTCTGGAAAACAAGCACTGGACGACAAAATGGAGAGGTGGATATGCTACATAGGTGATACATATGAAAAGAGTTAATGTGGCCCAGGCATGGCGGCGCAGGCCTTTATTCCCAGGACTCCAGAGGAAGAGGCACGAGGATCTCTATGAGAGTCAAGCTAGCCTGGTCTGCATAGCTACTTTCTGGATGAGCCAAGGTTACAAGTTCAAACTAGTAAACATTTAGAGAAAGAAAGTGTACAGGCCCAGGCCCTTGGGTGTATTTACCTGAAAAGAAGTCATCTCTACCTTCCTTCTGTGGCTTTCCAATAGGGCACTACATAAAACATCTTCTCATTCTTTCCAGAAATTTCCTTTCAGCTCGCTGAAAATCCACTTCACCTGCCAACAGGAGGAAGAAGCATGACACAAAATAAAACAGGCCATTATACTGTCTTCTGTCACAGTAGATGCGCAGGAAGAAAGCTCAACATAGAGATCACAACAGACTTTTCTGCTTTCCTGCGTTCAAGTGGCCCACCCTGGCAACAAGATCAAGAATTTCTACTACATTCATGGGAATGTTGGTGCCTCACCTCCTTATCTAAACAAGGCAGAGTAACATGGTTTTCTTCCTTTGGAATAGAGGCTAAACTAGGCTTTCCTTCAGAAGTGCTGGTAGCTGACCCCCAGCCTCAATCTCTTCTGCCTGCAACTGTTAAATGAAACAGCACTGATGTTTCTACTTAGCTTCACAGACAGACTCTGTGGGGGAGGCACAAGTGAGAGCTTTTCTTTTAAAGGCTAAAGTTCAGTAGTTCATCGTGAATTTTAAAAGTCTATTCTTGGGGCTGGAGAGAGGGCTCGGAGGCGAAGAACACTGGCTGCCCTTCCAGAGGACTGCTGTCAACTTGCAGCCCACACGTGATGCTAACAGCTATACGGAACACCTGTTCCAGGAGTTCCCACACTGTCTTCCCATCTCCACAGACATTGCTCACATGGCCACACTTACATACACACAAGAACAACACCCTTACACATGAAAGAAATTAAATAAATAATTTTAATAAAAACAAAATCATTATTGTCTGATGATACCATATTTTACATATTTCAGACATTTCCTTGATATTTTGTTATACATATATAGTGGATATTGATGTAGTAATCATTAATATATCCTTCCCTATGGCAAGTGTATCCAAATTGATATTTTCTAACAATTTTAATATATAAAATGCAACTTGGATGTACCTTGTTGTGGCATAGAACAGTAGACCTCAGTTAAGCCATGGCGCCATGACACTGTTTCTGTTATTTACCACCCATCCTCCCCATTCACTGCAAACTGCTACTGCACCCTCACTACCTATCATCTATCTTTTCTTTTTCTATTTCTCTTATGACTGAGATCATGTAGCGCTAGTGTTTCGCCTCCCTTTACCTGATACGGTGTCCACCAGATCAATCCTGTTCTCAAGTATGAGACAATTCCACTCTTTTCTGTAATGGAATTGTGGCATATTCCTCAGAAATATCACATTTCACTAAATCTTTCATTTGTCAATGGACATTTCAGTTGATTCCCTTTTATTCAAATAGTGCTGCCATAATTAGTGAGCGCACATATCTCAGCCCATACTGAATTCACTTCCTTTGAGTATCTACTCAGATTTGGTGGTACGAGCCACAGCTGAGAGAACACCTGTGGCTTTTCAGCATCTGTTTTACCCCACTTAGTACAGCCACTTCTCACAAATTCCTTAATTTCCTTTTCCTTTACACAAAGTAGAACTCTACTGTGTAAATGTAGAAAATTTACAGGATCCGCTCATAGACTAAGGGACATTTAGATTGTGCAACTGAATTTCAGAGACAATACAATAGAAAATTTTTTAAATGTTCTGGTTTATCATGTACTTAACTGAGACATTAAATGTGTTTCTTCTAATGAGTTAGGAAGGCTTTGGTTGAAATTAAAACTCTCACATTTTTAAAATTTCACAGGCAATATTGAAGGAGCAGTCATGTCATAAAAATTGGGCTTACAAGGCAGTTTTCAGTCTCAAAACTGCCTTGTGACATTATGTCCAGTACATACATTTTTAATAGGAGAATTCATGAAGTGGTCATTATGTTAATTTAATAGTCAATTTAAAAAAAATGTATGTAGAGAACAAAACATCACACAGCACTTCCTAAATGCATATAGTTCTTCTTTGTCAAAAATTAATGTTCAGGGGCTGAAAAGATGGCTCAGAGGTTAAGATCACTGGCTGCTCATGCAGTGGACCTGGTTTGATTCCCAGAACCTACGTGGCAGCTCACAGCTATCTGTAATTCCATTCCAGGGGATCCAGTTCCCTCTTTGGACCTCAGGAGGCATTGCAGACATGGGTGCACTTATATGAATGCAGACAAAACACTCATATACATAAAATAAAAGTGATAGTAAAACATTTCTTAAAAATTATTATTAAAAAGTAGAATCAGATAATATTGTATTTTAATTTATGGACATCTGGCTCCATGTCTTATAAATGTAATCTATAATAAATGATGACAGTTTGTTTCCACATAAACAAAGTATGCAGTGGTGTGTCACTCAGGACCACCTACCAATTCAGTGTGTTTCAGGACATCACTGTCATCCCCAGGACCACAGATGATCACAGCTCAATGCACAAGACACCAAGTGCTCTAGCACCTTTGTATGCCTGTGCTGGGTGGTTCATGAGTTGAGTCTTTAGAAAGTACCGCGATTTCTAAACAGTAGTGCACTCAACAGATAGAGAACATAACCGGGATTTCTATCAATGTCTTTTCAATTGGAATGTTCGATCAGAACACTGATATTGACAGTGTTCTCAGGTTGCAGAACTAGTGTTCCACCTCTAATTAAAGCTCATCCAAAATTCCAGGTTGGGAATGGAACTTCATGATTGGGTGGCAATAATTATATGTTACAAAGTTTCTGAATTTAACATGGAACAAAAGTGAAAGAAGCATAACCCTTCTCAAAAGACAAACATGAGAACAGACAAAGTTACAGTAAAGTGTTCTTTTCTCCTCTGAGAATTTCACTTTATGAGATGTGAGACTCATTCACACACACACACACACACACACACACACACACACAGTAGTTCCCCAAGGAACTCTTGAGTATGAGCAAGAAATTCTGTAAGAAAAATATTCTCACCAACAAAAAGAAGACAGCTGTAAATTACTCCAGCATTAGGTCTCTGTGCAAAGCCCTCTGAGCAGGATCTAGGAATTCCCTCTCCTCCTGTTAGAAGTCCACAGCCATGTCACTGAATGTCAACACACCCTGAAATGAAGAATAACAAACCACATGTCCACAGGGAGACTGCTTTCTTTGAATCAAGGAAACCAGAGATTAGGAGGCATTCTCTGATGTAGGGAGTGATCATAACTATTCTGAAGATGCTTTTGACACTGTCATATTCTCTAATGTGTTTTCTAACTGTGGAAATACCAGGGCAGGATACCCTAGTATTCAGCATATATACTATTTTTTGTTTTTGTTTTTGTTTTTGTTTTGTTTTGTTCAGACAGGGTCCTTCTGTAGCCTCAGCTAGCCTGGAACTCATCAAGTAGACTAGGCTGGCCTTGAACTCACAGAGATCTATCTGCCTGTGCCTCCAGAGTGCTGGGATTAAAGGCATGTGTCCCCATGCTTGCCTCATACCATGCTTTTATGGAATACAGGATCCCAAATTAAGATCTCAAAGTAACAATACCCAATCTAGTGGTGGATTTATATCATAAATCATATGTTTCAGAAGGAACATTAATGGTGAATTGAAAGCTTATTTCCTAAGTGTTAATTCCTGCAACTAACTATAACTGTGGCTGTTTGCTAAAATATATGTTCTAATTCAACACAATCTAGAATAATTCCTGCCAGTCAGAATGCAGGTATGAATTTACACTGGAAGAGCTTTGTTTTTTCCACAACAGCAGGGGGAGGAACAATGGATTTGAAGTAATTCCTGTACACTTGAGATCACTCTGCCATATTTGCACATTAATTTAAATAGTGTACATTTTTTTATGACACTATTTTGAAAAACCATAAAATTGCTGATAAAAATCAGGATTCGTCTTAGTTCGTAGGGTCTTAAATTTACCTTTAATAATCTAAATCTAAGAGGATGCACAGGCCAACATATCCAAATATTTGCAACCGAGTTTTGAGACCTGCGATCCTTGCTGTAGAGTAAGCATAAATAATGTTTAGCTCCCGGGTGAGTTACAGGGACCTCTCTCAGTTCCCAGCCCCCAACGCTGACTACAGTGTGTGCCGGGCCACTCCGATCACATGACCAGGCCTCCAGTTTTGTCCACAATCTTCTCCACCCTGAGTCTCTCCCGGACTCTCATCCACTCTGCACCAACCTCTCTGTGCGGTTCCTGTGACTTCGGTGAAGTTTCGCATCCCTCAGAGACCCGGTCTCCCTAGTCTCAGTGAAGTTTTCCAGGCCCCAAAGGGCTCAGGGGTCCCGCCAGACTTTGGAGCCTCTCCACCTCTGCTCTGGTCCCGCCCACTCCGGCCCAAGTTCCTGTTGCCTCACACTTCCCACTCCGCCCATGCCACACCCCTTCTCAAATCAATTTGAATTTGCTCCACCTCCATTCTTTGGGTCACTCCTCTGACCCAGGTGACTGTGCCTGACCCGCTGAGACCTCCCCTGTCATTCTAGCCCTGGGCTCAGTACACACCCTTTTTACGGAGTTGCTGTGGGCTTAGACCACACCTGGACCTAGTAAGACAGCCTACACCCCTACCTAGCCCTCGGGGCCTGCTTCTGTCCTCTTGAGACACACCCCAAAGAAACCCACCCTGAAACCTCACCCTGGGATTCCACCCTCCTTCACTAAAAAATCTCAGGAAAAGAAAACAGACTAAGTGCAGATGCCCAGAGGCTATCCCCCAAATAATAAAAATATGATAAACCAAGAAAATACGACCTCCCCAAGGAAAAGAACAATTCCAAAGCAATGTTCCCTAAGGGAGTAAGTTGGTCTCTAAGCTACTGTTCTCAAAAAGTACACATACATATGAACAAGTAGTTCAAGCATATCGCTATGAAAATTACCCTGAGACTGACCTGGACGGAGGACAAGAATCAAACCATGCTCAAGAAGTGGAGGAGGTTTAGCCTTGGGGACACCGTGGCTATCCTGTTCCAGACATACTGAGGCCTGACCAGAAACACAAACAGGTGTTTATAGGATTTCTCACATCAATCCTGGGCAATAATCTTCTGGTGGATTTCAGACTTCCAGCACCAAAGTATAGGTGCCACTTAATTTTTTTGTTGAAAATTCATCCCTAACATCATGTTTCCAGTATGTGTGGCACTATGTGAAATGAGTAAGTCAGGACGTCCCACAATCAAGAATATAGTTAGCCATTTTTACGGGAATTGGAAAGCATGTCCTCGCCATTTCAGCCATGTGTGAATGTAACAAATAAACACCAGAAAACTCAAAAGACAGGGAATTTACTGCTGACTTTACCTTTTACTTTCCAGACTCTAGGTGTGAGAGCATAAACCAGTCTAGTGTTATATCAGCCTCAGCAGATTCTTGTGTTCATTGCTCTTTTTCAGGAATTTTAGCTCCATTGATCTGCAAGGTTTGATTTTTTTTTTTTTCACGTTTCACCTTGTGTCACAGATAAGCCATCCTCGTTGTTTGGTTTACTTTCACAGATCTCATCTGTGTATGCATTGATGAAATTTGTTCAGTACTCACATAGCTCTAATTCCTCACATCTGTATTAAAAAGGGTGAAATTAGTAAGTTACATCAATATTAAAAACTCTAAAATCAACACATGGTCTCACTTTTGCAGAGATTATATTTAACCATGTATGCGCGTATATATATGAATGTATATATGTCACTAGCAAAAATGGGGACAATGGGAGTATCTGGAATAATGTGAGGCAAAGGAGTGTGATGGTGCAGATAAGAAATCACAGTTAAACATATAAAGCATATATAATATATATATATGAAATATGCTGATAACAATATTTGGGTGCTTACAAGAAGGAATTGAAATAGAAATTTTGCATGCCCTGATTTTTTACATAGAGGAGATGAAAACTAAATGCAGTGATATCAGAAACTAGAGTGGAAAATACTCAAAAATATGACTCAAATAAGCTCTGTGCTCCTAGGTACTCACAGTGAAACTGAATACCTACACATGATTGCACGTTATACTTCACTGTCAACATTATTTCATCTGAGAGCAAAATCCTTGGATGTGTGTCAGTTACCACAACTGAGAAAATGCATTTGCCAATCCCTGAAGTATTAGTAAAGGGCTAGCAAGGACAGTTAAATTACTCATGTATTGATATGATCAAGAATTCCAAATTAAAATATGGGTGGAAAAATTCGTCAAACATATATGTCTAGGAACAGCTATGCTTTTTTTTTTCAAAAGCACCCTTGTCATTTCTACTGCAGAAATCAAATAGTGGGTTTCAGGCAGCCAATAAGATAAGCAATGGAGTGAAATCTCCTGTCTCCTGTGGACATGTGTCCAAGGGGAAGAGCAAAAAGAGAGAGCTCCCTTTGACCCACGGGTCCTACTATCTATAGCACATCAAACATAATTCAGGAGTGGTTTGTGTTCAGCTTATAAAACTGTGATTGTGTTAGAATACAGAACAGGCTTGATCTTTAGAAGCCAGTCTCTTCTTTAAAAACTTCTACATGTATTCTGATGAGATAACATCTAGTACTATGACCTTATGAATGCCTCAAACAAGAATCTTGCCTTCTAACAGTAATAGGAAAATACGATGTAAGTCTTCCAACCGGGTCTGTTCTGCTCTACTGCCTAGGGATAACTGAGTTTCTCTGACAGACTTTTATTTCTCAGAGCTTTGGGAAGTGGACAGTCTCAAACACCATTTTAATTTGTATCACATTTACCCCTCATATAAATCTCTGTATATTTCCAAGAATAACTGTATCTGATTAACAAGAATTCAATTCCTATTTTCTCATTGCATTATAAAACAGTCCTCACAGTTCAATACAATAGATGCTTAGGAAAGGCACTGTGACCAGGTGTTATATATTGGCAATTTTCTAAGGCTCTAACGTTCTGAATTAATTTACTAGAACACTGAATCTGATTCAAGGTATGTCAGTGACATAGTCAGAGCGGTGAATTCATAAAACATGAATGGACATTCCAAAGCACTCAAGAGAAACCTCAATTATAAACAGTTGAAAACCTAGACATATAAAGGCAGAGCTGGTATGGTAGCATAATGCCCAAGGAGCTGGGGGTGAAAAGGAAGAATGAAAAACTACACAGAGTTGGGAATTGAAACAATCACAACTGAATGTGTAATCCTGGAAAAATAAATAATTTTCATGATATCCCTTAAAGATTAGAACTTAAAAAAATTAAATTTTATTTCACTTATTAGAATATTGAGAGTGTCTTTTAAAGAATGTTTACATTAGTATGTTCTCTACAGAGTAGTTCATATTTCCAAGTTCAATCCTAAGTACTATTCCACTACATGAAGTCATTTAAAATCACACATATTGTCAAGGAGCTACATAATTTTCTAATGAAAATATGTACTATTTCTCACATGTATAATATGCAAGTAAACCACATAAGAAGTGCATAGGGGTAGTCAGAAATATTGAGCTATGTGATATTTTAGGTACTGTGCAGAATCAAAATAAGGACCTTGAACTCTAGACATCTAGCACTAAAATCAAATCCTGATGTATGGAACATTTGAGATGGTATTCCATGGATAGGAGACCAAACAATTCACTTTTCATCATTTCCAATGTTTTGTTGTCTAGTAAGACGTGAATCTTTTGGTATGGGTATAAAAATGACTCCCAGAGTCTCATGTGCTCAATATTTGTGCTGTGGACATCAGGATTAGAAAAGGATTCTTGGAAAGATGATTAGATCATAAGGGATGCAACCATGATTTCACAGCTGTTCCTCCTTTCAGCCGTGATTGGAGAAAGTAGGACACTGATGTACAACATTGAAGCACATTATTTGTTTCTGCCCTCAGGAACACCTTCTATATCTCTATCTCAATCTTGTTTCTCCCTCTCTCTCTTACCTTCGGGATGAGAACTCTCTTGTCTGGCACATGGTTTGTAGAACCCCACATTTGTTTCTCCATAAGCCATATCAAATAGAAACTAATATATATGGATCAAAAACATTGGAACAGTGAGAAAAAGAGCCTCTTCACTTTACTTCACATTTCAGGTATTTTGTCATAGCAGAAAAATTTCACTCACACAAAACCTTTGTGAATTCATGTCTGTGACCATCTGTTTTATTACATGTTTTAGAAGGCACATATACATGCAAGCATGCATTTATGTTGTCTGATTCCTAAACTTTATCCAGAGTCTCCCATGTTTGCTCCTTTCTTTCAATGTAAAGCGAAATCCAAATCCATGTGGTCAGTTGTCCCACAAAGTGGTGGTGGGGTAGAGGCAAAGAAAAAACCTTTTTTTTTTTTTTTTTGGTCTTTTTGAGACAGGGTCTCCCTGTAGCTCCAGCTGTCCTGGAACTCTCTATGTAGACCGGGGTGGCCTTGAACTCACAGACATCTGCCTGCCTCTGCCTCCCGAGTGCTGGGATTAAAGGCATGTGCCACGAAGCCTGGAAAAAAAAACAAAAAAACAATTTTTAAATGTATCAGTACTCATAAATTAGGATTACAATGATATTACCAGGTTATTTTCATTATATTTATCATAATGTTTCTAATACAATGTACAGTCTCTAATGAATAGATCATGTAAATTACTTGATAAATCCCCAAGGAACAGATGTCTGGAAAAAAACAATCCACTGATTTACCCAAATATTAAAGGATATCCTTGTATTAGCCTTCACTCATCATCACCTGAAATAAGGTGTGAGAGTTTCTATTTGGAGAAGATAATATTTTTCATTCAGTTTTCATATTACATCATTAAACATATGCTTTACTTATTAAAACAAAATCAACTTATATGCAGTTTCAAAATTGTTTTAAAATGAATTCAATGCAGTCATATCAAAATGCACATTACAAGAACTAAAGAAACAGGATTTGTTTAAATTAATAGACAATTTGGATGCCATTACACACCATTTCCAAAGAACAACACTAAAATTCTAATATATTGATGATGAACTTGCAAATGTATTTATAATATTTTGCAAATTATCTTTCTCTTTTCTGTCTTCATTTAGTTTTTGCACATAAATTGTATTGTGCTAAACAATTGCAACACTACTAAAATATTTATTCAGAATTCAATGAACTTGCCATGCATTCATCTCATTACTGATCAACTCAAAATCTACTTCATTTCAGGTATTCAGGATTGAGTGTTTTGACTTAGAAGAGGAATGAAGACGAGCAATCCTACTTTACACTGAAGGACATTCTTAGTGCTACTCAATAAAAAAATCAAAACAATCATTTGATGTCATCCATGAATTTTGGATGAGGCATTAACAATT